TTTCCTACATTCATGGTTCTCACATTCCATGTCCCAGTCACTAGTGTCTGCTTACAACTGTCCCTCTTCCTTTGTATTTCTTTACTTGAAAGCTCAACCTCAGTTGCCCTTTCTCTTATCTACATGCGTTCTGTTGTACATAGGGCCTTCAGAGGCCTGCTGTTTCAGAAGGGGATGGCCAATCCTTCTTCCTACTCTTTCTTAGTCTGAATATTCAGATTTAGAGATACTATAGGCAATATTTTGAATGATCCAGAAAGCATCGAAAGAAGGATGGAATACAGAATCATTGTACCAAAAATAGTTGATGCTGAAAAATTTCAGGAAGTATCAGATGAACAAGATCCAATAGTAAGGAGGACAAAGTTCAAGCAGCACTGAAGACACTGACAAAATATAAAGCCCCAGGAATTGATGGAATACCAATTGATATGTTTCAATTAATAAATACACCCCTGAATATGCTCATCAGTTTATGACAGAAACTTTGGAGGACATCTGCCTGGCCTACTAATTGAAAGAGATCTGTATTTGTCCCTCAAGAAAGGTGATTCAACAGAATGGAGAAATTATCAAACAATCATTAATATCACATGCAAGCAATATATGGTGCAGATCACTCAAAAATGGCTAGAACAGCATATTGTCAAGAAGTTGCCAAAAGTTAAAGCTGAGTTTAGAAGAGACCATGGTATCATGGATTTCATGGTTGATGTCAGATTGATCTTGGATAATACCAGAAGAATTTCTACTTATGCTTTATTGATTACAAAAGACATTGTGTAGATAACAAAAAATTATGGTTGATAGTGAGAAGAATAATAATGTCAGAACATTTAATTATGCTTCTATGAAACATACCTAGACCAAGAAGCTGTGACTGAACAAACCAAGGGAACACCACATGATTTAAAATCAGGATTATACTCTTCATACTAGTCAATCTGTATTCTGATCAAATAATTGAGAATCTGGAGTCTATGAAGAGGGGTGTGGCATCAGGATTTGAAGAAGACTCATCAGCAACCTGCATTATACAGATGGCACAAATTTGCATGCTAAAAATGATGATATGAAGCACTTGCTGTGAAGATTAAGGATTATAGCCTTCAGAATGGATTACTTCTCAACATCAAGAAAACAAAGATCCTTACTTACCCCAGCACCTAGAGACAACATAATGACAGATGGAGAAAGGAATGAAGCTACCAATGATTTAATCTTGATTGGATCAACAATCAATACCCTTGAGGGGAGCTCTGGTGGCCTAGTGGCAAGGAGCTGCAACTACAATCCCAGAGGCCTCTATGATATTAAACACACTTGCTCTGACCTCATAGTTTAGGCTTTCTGAAAATATGTTACAAACTTCACTTTCATAAGAAAAACATTTAAAAATTTCCATGATCAAAACCTATCCCAATCCTCGAATTCCAAAGCCATCTTGTGTTGAGTATTTTCAGAGAGTCATTTCAATGAAGAGTTTACAACTTTAGATTGGAGGCAGTGGGGGAGATAGCTTCACAACTTAGTGAAGATGGTTTCGTATTTCTTTTTTTCTATATTTTCATACAGGAGAATAATAAATTTTTATTTCAGTTTTAACTATTGAAATAATGGTCATAATAAGAAATAATGGTGTTCTATTTCATTTTTTGGTGACCCAGTGTGTAAGGAGCTGCATTTCCAAGCTAAAGGCAGGCAGTTGGAATCCACCAACTGGTCTATGAGAGGAAGATGAGCAATCTCTCGTGTCATTTACAGCCTCTAAAAACCCACTGTAGGTTGACTGTGATTGAGTTCCTACCTACTCAGCGGCAATGAACACTGATCACTCACTAACTTAGTAAACACTGACTCATTTTAGGAATATTTCCCATTTTGCAAATTGTTGAAAAGCAAGACATGTTTTCAAAAATAGATGTATTTACAAAGCATGACACATAGTATGAACTCAACATGTATAATCACTATTATTACTATCCTATGGAACTTCTCTAAAGAAATTGGAAATATATTAATTATTATTGATGTTGATTCAATTTTTACTAAAATATTATTTCAAGTTCACACTTAATTTACATTTAAATATATATTTTCTCCATTAAAAATATAACCATTATGTACCTGCTTACATGCCAACTTTCTTTAAATAATTCAGAGATCTTCCATATCTATGAATATATTTACTTTTTTAAGTGTCTATAAGGAGCAAAGCTATAATTTCTACTTTGGAGATAAAGTTTCTTAAGCAAGAATAGAATAAAGAACTTCTTCAAATCACTATAATACCTGAAATTTCATTCTAAATCCCTCAATTCCCTCCTTCTTAGTGCACATAAAGCTCATGTCTTTGGACCTTCTTGCCTTATTACATTTTTTTTCCCAGTCATGATCATAATAAATGAGGACACAGAGATAGAAGTATGATTCAGCATCAACTTACAAGGTTACCTTTATGTTGAGCTCAATAAATAGAGAAGTTAGAAAGGTGCATAAGCCTGGCACCAGACAACCTTGGGCAATAAATCCAAGCTTCAAGTCAGTAAAACAGATAATGTTGTCTCCAGCTTTCCAGTTCCAGCTGGGAATCTTTGACAGGTAAACCTATTTTAAAATGGAAGGCAGGAGGAACATTAGAAGTAAATAGGACTCAGAAAAGTTCCTTCCTCTTTCTTTCACATAATTTCTCCTTAATTCTACACTCTTTGATGGGACACTAATAATAACCAGGTCAATGGAAGTTTTTGCATCAAATTTAAATTCTTTATCTGAAAATGGTTAATGGTCACATTGGAGCTCTAGAGTGGTGTACTAGTAACTGACAATTAACTAGAAGACTAGTAATTTCAACATAGTTGGAAGCAACTAAAGGGCAATATTTGGTGATCTGCTTTTTATAGGTCATAGTCATGAAAACTCTGTACCATTTTAACATATGGAGTTGTAACATATAGTCAACAGCAATATTTGTATCATCAATTCTCTGCCCACAATTGTCTCATAGTGAATAATAGTAATAACAAAAGCTAAAAAATTAGATTAGTTCCTCCCCAAATTGGTAAGTCACAATTTTAATGTGATTCTAAATTTTGCATACTGTTGGCAAGACACTGTTCATTTGCACACACTTAAAATTAGTAAGGTTCATCTATCATCATAGAATGAAGGGAAAAGAGATTGAATAGGCCACTATAAAATATTACCTTGTTATAGGATTGAAGTATTTGTATGATGACTCTGGACTTCGGGTAATAATTCTTGATAGAGAGCACCCTACACAAACAATATATAGGCTCATGAGTGGAGTGGTATATTCACATTACTTTCCATGTGTTGTTTTCAAGTCAGAACCAATCTATAGCCGACCTTCTAGTTAGTTTTTAGAGGCAGAAAATCACACAGGAGGAGACTGTGCATCCTTTTGTGGAGCATCCAGTGGATTTTAAGCACATGTCTTTGGGACTACAACACAGCTTCTTACCACTGGACCATCCGAGCTCTCCTATATAATACCATTCAGAATTAAATATATGTATGAGTAACTAGATTAAAATTATTATATTCTAAAGGTCACTGTTACGCTGTTTTCTATCAATAACATACAGGTATATAGGTACCCCTGGATTGATTCCGACTCATATACAACCACATGAAATATTGATTGTGTCATCTTCACAATCTTTCAGACAAGTGGTGGGTGGGATAGCATACACAATTGTATGCAATTGTCCCTATAATTTAGCAAATCAGGCCTACAAAAATGTTATGTCTTGGAAGTGGTTATTGTTACTTGGAAGTGGTTATTGTTAAGTGCTGTCAAGTCACCTGTGACTCATAGTGACCTTATGTACAACAACCCTAAACCCTGCTCTATCCCTTGCCAATCTTATTGTCTCTGACACGCCTATCCCCATTGCCACAGTGATTGAATCAGTCCATCTCATAGAGGGTCTTCCTTTCCTGCGCTGCACTCTCCCAAGCATGACATCCCTCTCCAAGGACTGGTCCCTCTTTGCAACATGTCCAAAGTATGTAAGACGAAACTTCAGAATCCTTGCCTCCAAGGAGCAGCCTGGTTTCACCCTGTCCGGGATGAACTTGTTTGTTCTTCTAGCAGTCCATGGTATATTCAGTACTATTCTCCAGCACTACAGCTCAAAGGCATCAATCCTCCTTCTATCACCCCTTATCAATGTCCAGTTGTCTGATACATAGCAAGAAGTTGCAAAGACCATGGCCTATATCAGGTGCACCTTAGTCTCCAGACTGACACCATTGCTTTTCAGTAATTTGGAGAGGTCTCTAATAGCAGACTTTCCCAATGAAATTTATCTTTTAATTTCCTGGCTGCTGGTACCAAGAGTGTTAATTGTAAAGCAAAGCAAACTGAGCCTGTCAGTAATGTCAATCTCTTCACCATATACCGTGATGCTGCCAGTTGGCCCAGTGGTGAGAATCTGTCTTCTTGATATTGAGCTTCAATCCATATTGAAGGCTGAATTCTTTGACTTTCTGCAGCAAGCACTTCAGATCCTCCTCAGTTTCAGCAAGCCGTCTTGGAATTAGGAGAGTATATTTTTGTTGTTGGGTTTGTTTGTTTTATCTAGGTCTTCAGAAGAAAATAAACACTTTAAGGCAATTTAAACTTTGAAATAAAATATGCTATTGTCATTAGGTCCTGTTGAATCAGCTCCAACGCACAGCAACTCTATGTATAACAGACTGAAACTCAGTTTAAGTCTGTTCCATCCTCACAATTCAATTTTTGCTGTCCTTATGCCCAACATTGTACAGTATCTAGCAACCATATTAGCTAGAGGAAAAGAAAAACAAAATAGATATAGCATTCTGATCTAAACTTAAAGTATCTCACAGACTATCTAATCCAACATTTTCATTTACAAATTAAATCACCATAATCTATCTCATATTTACTGTGATCAATGATCAATGGCATAAGCTCTAAACTATTTCTTCTTGTTTGTAGAACCATCTTGAGCTCTGTGTATTTATTTCTCTCTGAGAATCAGAAGCTCAGCTGTAGTTGGTACAACACAATTCCCATTACATTTTTTTAAATCTCTGTTTCCACAAGTCAAGTCCTGCTCATAAATAGTTTACAGTTGAAGATTGTTAACACTAACTTTAATCACGAAAACAATGGCTGATTTCTATTTCCATAAGCATTAACAAACTCATTGCCATCAGGCTGATTCCAACTCATAGTTAGAATAGTCCTAGCCTTACAGGACAGAGTAGAGCTGCCTCATAGTGTTTTCAGAGTTGTAAATCCTTATGGAAACAGATTCCCTTCTCATTCTCCCGTCAAGTAGCTGGTGAGTTCAAACCAACAGGCTTTTGGTTAGCAGCCAAGTGCTTAACTATCACACTTCCATGTCTCTATTTTAAAATAGGCATTACAAGAACATGGAAACAGCCCAAATGTCAAACCATAACTAAATGGATTAAAAAATTGTGGTACATACACACAATGGAATAATAACCGTGCAGCACATAGGAGCAATGATTTTGAAAATTGTCACATCACTTGGGAGAGACTGGAGAACATTATGTTGAGTGAACTACCACAGTCTCATAAGAACAATGCTGAATAAGACCATTATTGTAAAAATAGATAACTAGTAAAACACATATGGGAACCGAAGGAGGAATGGGTGAGAGTGGAGAAGTGAGGACGGGTAGGGGCAAACTCATAGGGTTCCACAGTTTGGTGGTTAGAGGGAACGAGGGGAAGGAGGTGGGAAGAATCTTGGTGAAAAGACAGGGTAATAATGGGCAAGGTCCAATGCTTATTAATTCTATAAAACATAATACATAGAAATGATTGTATGAAACAAAATATGAAAGAATAAAAATGCGAAACACAATGTATATGAACTTTGTAAGCAAACCAATTAAAAAAAGCAAAGAAAAAATATAAGTATGTTGAAAGGATTTAACTTTGACACACACCTTTCCTAATTTTATTTTTTATATAATTTGCAATTTTTTTTCTAATTTATTATTTTGTTGCGGTTCCTGTCCTGTCTCCTTTGATTTTCCTTTCTTATTACCTTCTAAGATTGAGTCTTTCTGTGAATAAACTATTTCTTCATTTTTTTATACTAATGGTCTTAAAGTTCTGTAATTATTATTGCTCAGAAAATCCTATGAGGGGATTCAACCTTGTATCACAAAAACCAAACATGAGTTTCAATCAACTCAACATCATCAGGCTTATTGTGGTTTATGCATTATTCAGATGACACAACCTCACTTGTTAAAAGTGAGGAGGACTTTAAGCACATGTTGCAGAAGATCAAGTAATATAGCCTTTTGTATTTATTGAATTTCAATGTTAAGAAAACAAAGATTCTTACCACTGGACCAATAGGCAGCATCCTGACAGATGGAGAAGAGAATGAAACTGTAAACAGCTTCACCTTACTTGGATCCACAATGAACACCCTTGGTACCAGCAGTCAGTAAATAAGGAGACACATTCCACTGGGAAAATCTGCAGTTAAGGACCTTTCCAAATTATTGAGTAGTAATGATATCAGTTTGAGGAATAAGGGACATCTGATTCAGGCCATAGTCTTTCCAATCACTAGCTATGAATTTGAGAGCTGGACAATGAATAAGGATGACAGAAGAATTGATGCTTTTGAACTGTGATATTAGAGAAGAGGACTGAACGTCCCACGGACAGCCAAAAAACAAACGGATATGTTTTGGAGACGGTGAAGCCAGAGTGCTCTTTGGAGGCAAGAATGATTAGGCTTCGCCTCACATATTGTTAGGCATGTTGCTAGGAGGAGCTATTCCTTGACGGAGACATGATGCTAGGAAGGTAGAGGGTTGGTGAAGGAGAGAATGACCCAGGACCAGGTGGATTGACATGGTGATTGCCGCAGTGGGCTCTGTGTGTCAGGAAATGTGATAATGGCACAGGATAGAATAGGGTTCAGATCCATTGTTCATAGGATTGCTATGAGCTTGACAGCACCTAATAACAACTGTTGACAGATCATCTTTTGTTTAATATTTTGTGCTGAGTTATTTTTTATTATGAAACAATGAGAAAAATAAGCATTTATACACATCAAACAAATGCTGGCTTCTTACCTCATAATGTTTGAAGTGTCTTCAGCATAAGCGTCACTGCACAAAGGGTTGGCTATAATCAGGAATGCTTCTGCATGTTCCACCTATTCTTCAAGATTAAACAATCATCATATTAATTAAAAGGGACATGTTCAGGCGGCCTCCTTATGAGTAGTCTTATGTTTATTTAAAACAGTAACAATGAGAAGAAAACACAAAACCCAGGGTACAATTGGTAAAGAGTAGAGACCAAGATGAGAGTGGACAAACCTTTGTCATCTTTACCTCCAAGGAGCACTCTAGCTGTACTTTTCCCAAGACATCTATTGTTCTTTTGGCAGTCCATGTTGTTAGGAGAGAATATTCCCTAGAGAGGGTCATCATGCTTGGAAAACTAGAGGGTTAGTGAAAGAAAGGAAGACCCTCAACCCATTGGATTGACACAGTGCCATAGGCTCAAGTATGTCAGAAATAATGAGGATGCTACAGCATAGGACAGGCTCAGATCTCTTGTTCATAGGGTCACTATGAGTCCACCTTAACTCAATAGCTCCTAACAACAACAACAGCAACAGCAACAGCAACAAGAACTGTCTTTGCATCAGGCTCACATTCCTGAGAATACTGTAAGGGCTTCTGCTGACAATCCTAAGGATATGGACTCTAACGGTAATAGGAGCTCAGCTCAACTCATTGCCCATAAGTCAGAGCCAACTCATATCTGACCCCTCAGTTTGGGTAGGCTGTAAATCCCAAGGGAGGAGATTGCCTATCTTTCTGCTATGGAGTTGCTAGTGGGTTCCAACTGCCAGAGATACCATCTTAGGATTAGCAGTGCAACTCCCTAGCCATTAGATCACCTGAGTTCTCTAACACTGATCTAAGGTTGCTTTTAAATAGAAAAAAAAAAATTCCAACAATTCATCTAATTTGAACATAATTGCAAGAAATAAGACCTTTTAAATATCTGTATGCATATTTATTTACCTTATAGAATAGCAAAAATTAGGGGAAATTAGATAGTACTTCACTTAAAAAAAGAATCATTCAGTATTTGCAGATTGTGAAAATTAGCCAAGATGCTGTTAAGATACTTGGCTCCTGGAGAGGTTGCTTTGAGTCTGCCACTTTCTCTTTTAATTATTTATGATAACTCTTTAGTTTTTAAAATTTTATTTAAAGTGAAACAATTTATGTTTCTAAAACCTTACAGAAATCTGGTTTTGATTTTAAAGCAAAGCTATGTAGAGAGTTAGATCTTATTCATCATATCATCATTTATAGTTGCAACCTTATTTTCCTTCATTCCACTCTAGTCATTAAACTTACGTGTGTGTTTGGTAAGAAATTGATGAATCTGACGACTACTTCCGAAGCTTTGTCTGACATACTCTGGACATATTGCAAGGTGGGACCAGTCCTTGGAGAGGGACATCATGATTGGGAGGGTAGAAGGATACTGAAGGAGAGGAAGATCCTGTTGCAATAGAGACTTGATTCTTATGCACATCCAAAAACTTCTCCAACAGTGTAAAAAGGGAAGCCACAGATTGGGGGAAAATTTGATAATGAGCTGTCTGATAAGGGACTTATTTCTAGAATTTAAAGAAAACTCTACCACAACAAGATAAAGGTAAACAACTCAATTGCAAAAGGGGCACAGAGTATCAACAGACACTTCACCAAAGAAGACATAAAGATGGCAAACAAACATATGAAGAAATGTTCAAAATCACTAGCTCTAAGAGAGATACAAATAAAAAAAACTATGAAATATAATCACACCCCGGTAAGAATAGCAAAATTTAAGCTTTCGTGGCCAAGTGGCAAGAAGCTGCACTGCAATCCCAGAGGCACACAGTTCAAATCCACCAGATGCTCGGCTGTAGAAGGAGGGACAATCTCCTCCTGTACCAGCTGGATTCAATTTGTCAGTACACATACCAAAAAAAATTAATAAAATATAAAAAAAGTTTTTTAAAAAAGAATAGCAAAATTCAACGGAGCAGCAAACAACAAATGCTGGTGAGGTTGCAGAGAAACTGGAACCCTTATTCACTGTTGGTGGGAGTGTAAAACGGTGCAACCACAATGGAAGGCAGTATGGAGCTTTCTCAAAAGCTGGAAATAGAAATACCATTTGACCCAGCAATTCTATTACTGGGAATATACCCTAAAGAAACCAGAACTGCCACCCAGGCAGATAGATGCACACTCATGTTTATTGTTGCTTTGTCCACAATAGCAAAGATTTGGAAATAACCCAACTGCCCCTCAACAAATGAATGGATAGAGAAGCTGTGGGTGTATTCACACAATGGAATATTATGCAGTGCTGAAAAACAAAGAACTCATGAAATATTTTACAAAATGGGTGACCTTGGAGGACATTATGCTGAGTGAAATATCTCAGTCACAAAAAGACAAATACTGCATAATGCCACTGTTATAAAACAGGACTGACATGGGCTTTGGGAGAAAACTAAGAAAAGAAGGTATAAATAATATACATGACATTGAAAGAGATGAGCAAGAAAACTTTATAAAAGAAATATAGGATTAGGTATTATTTGAATGACAACAGTCCAGAATAAGACCTGCATAGTAAAGTGGACTAGGGTGGGGGGATCGTATAACAATGAAAGAATTTTTTTTTCTGAAGAGAAAAGTAAACTGGGTAGGGGGTAGGAAGGCAGGGAGGAAAATGTGTAACAATGAATGAATGGAAATCCAAGTTCTTTATAAACTTTCATTAAAATCTCAATACAAAAAAAAGAGAGGAAGAAAGACCTTCTATGAAATGTATTGATTCAGTGACTAGGGTAATGAGGGTGGATGTATCAGAGATAATAAGATTGGCACAGGATAGAACAGGGCTTGGGCTGTTGTACATAGGGTCTCTTTGAGTTGGAGGTGACTTGACAACACATAACAACAACAACAACAACAACAACTAAAAATTTGTCTTTATTAGAAATTTGGTTTAGATGATAAATGCAAACCATGGTTTTGAACGGTTTCATTATGTTCAACATCTGTTATGAATTTGCCTGTACATCCCAGATAAGGGACACTTGGTGGACTAGTTGAAAGGAGCTGTGTGCTGAAGGCACAAATCCCTAATCCACAAATTGCTTTGTGAGATAAAGATATGCAATCTCGTTCTTTGACTTTTACTGCCACTGAAAATCCATTGTGATCAGCTATGGGTCAGTTCCCTGATATACATAATCAGATCATATTTTAACAAACTCCCCAAGATGATTCTAAGAGATTCCCTAAGTGATCCTTAAAGACCCCCAGATGTGGTTTGTTTGTTTGGGTTTTTTTTGTTTTTTTGTTTATTGGGTGTTTTTTTTTTTTGTGTGTGTGTGTATACAAAAGAATCTGGTTAAAATACAGATTATAATTCATCATATATGAATGAAAATACAAATTATTAGCATGAAGTTAAACTTGAATGAACCAATTTAAAGCCATGGATGAAGAATACTATTTTGAATACTTTCAGATCTCTTCAATTGCCAAATATTTTTTAAGGCTATAATTTAGTGACATATATAAACTGTGGAGTCAGCTTGACTATCAAGAAATATTTGAGAGTTGGGTTAAAAGTAAAACCAGTTAAAAGGTAGAAATGTTGCCTTCCATGTGGGAGAACTGATGGGTCTGTCTCCAGCCAGTGTACTTTATATCACTATCTTTCAATTTATTGTACTGTACTGACTAGCATGTCTGACTACACTGTCTAGCTGACATCTATGCCATCTATATTTCAAGTACTGGAAGGGTTATCAATAGTGGACAGGTTCCTGCTTTCAATAGCAATCAAAAGAAAGACTAGATCTCAACTGCCCTACTCTTATTATTTGCCTTTTAGTTGAAACCAACACAAAGCTGCTATCCAACAGGTTTTCAGAGGTTATACGTTTCATAGGAGGAGATTGCTCATCTTTCTTGTGCAAAGCAGCTGGTGTATTTAAAGGGTATGCTTTGAGTTTGCAATGCAACTCTTTCCCTACTAGATAATTGTAACTAATAAATCGTTATCGGTTTGCTCCATTTTTTATAACTTAGAGTTAATATCTCAGTAGCAACTAGAAACAAGAGCATTTCAAGGTTGATTTCTACATTTCCATTGCGACAATTTGTTTTCCAGTTAAGCAGTTATCCTCTTTAAATCTCACCATTATCCCTTTCACTCAGTTGAAGGATAAAATATATCATTTCTTAGGTGGGGACGGTACAAAGAGAAAAAAGTCCTACCGCAACTCGCTTAAGATCATCCCACTTTAGTGCAGATCCATTAACGAAAGTTGTGTAGGCTGTATGGCACTTAAATATTGTTTCCAATTCCAATGAAGGGGGGTTCCTTTTCAAACCAGCATAGTGAAAAAGGGGAGAAATATGATTAATTACAGTTATAAATTTTGTTTTACATAGTATGCATTCAGTGCTTTAACAAAGACAGGATAGAGTAGTAAGAAAGTAGTATTACAATTCCATACTAAATACCATCACTAGTTATGCTTCGTAGGTTTGCATTTTGAGTGAGTCTAGACTCTGATATTTCAAATAACAAGATATATCAAGAATATTAATATATCTACAAGGAATGTATGCTAATACAACTATTATTGACATTTAAATAACAATTAATGTAAAAGATAAATTATATATTTATATCAACATTTAAAGCCTGAGTTTGATGAAACATGAAGTCAGCATGCAATAATTGTTAACTATTGGAAAGCAAGAGTCAATAAATGAAAACATCAATTTGGTGGTAGAAATGATTCTGGAATTACATGACAGATATTTCAAGAGGAATGACTTATTCACAGAAAATCCTTTTTTTTCCTCTCTCTGAACAATCTAATCATTGTAGACTTCTGTTGCCACAAAGGTAAGTTAAATTGACACCACCTGTGGAAAGGCACAGTGGAAGACCATAATATCATCAGTCAGAAGGCCAAGGACCTACTAAAGAACAGATTCAATTACTCTTATGTAAATTCACATTAATATTAGAGAAAACGAAAATAAACCAGGAATGAATCTTAATACATTCTGCCTAAATTTGGAGATGATCTCAAAAATATATTTGATATTCCAATAATTAATGACAAAAATCCAAGATGAGTTGTGGCATATCATCAAGGATGTCAAATAAGAAAGCAAAATGTCCTTAGCAATACAGGGAAGTTTAGAATACTTATACACTGCTGGTGAGAATTTAAAATTATATAACCACTATGGAAAGCAGTTTGACCCTTCCCTAGAAAGTTAAGATACCATTTGAACCAGCAATCCCAGTACTAAATGTATATATCATAAAGAAATAAAAGTTAGGACAGGGTTGCAAAGAGGAATATACATACTGATATATATTGTAGCATTATTTATAATGGCCAAGAGATGGAAACAGCCCAAGTTTACATCGATAGATGAATGCATAAAGAAACCATGGTATATAATAGATTTATAAGAGCACTAAAAGTAATAACAATTCTTGAACCACTACAAACCTTGGATGCATCCAGGATATTATGCTAAGTAAGTAACTCAGTTGCAAAGGATCACATACAGTATAAGGACCACTATTATAAAAAGCCAAATAAATCCTTAGATAGCTACAATCATTATTGGATAATTACTAAGGATGGGAAAGTGGGTAGAGGGAGTGAAAATTAGAAAATACATAAGGCAAACATTAGATGATTGAAGGAAAAGGCAATATCCAGTAAGGGGGTAATTAGAAGCATCTGACCAAAAAAAAGAGAAGATATAGAGAAATATAATTACCCTAATGGAAATCGGCATTAAAGGGAGGAAATAGGAATATAATTATTATATTGTAGATATTGAAATTAATATTATTGAACATAATGTATAGGAATAGTTGAATGAATTTTATTTGTAAACATTCACTCAAACCACTATGAAACAAAAGTAAACATTTGGAAAACAAAGACAGGAAAGAAAGAAAATCTGAATATAGAAGTCAGAATTGATTCTGAAACCTGCTCTTGAATGTAGAATATCAAAAGAAAGAAAGAGACATGAAAAAGCCAAAAGAAAAGGTTTCCAAGGGGAGCACAAGAAAACAAAGTGAAGTGCTGGGGGAAAAAGAATTCTAGAGTTGTAAAATTTTAAAAAGTTTTAAAGCTAGAGCATTCTTTGACCTTTTCAATCAGAAAGACCTGAATTAAAATTCAAGCCTCTGCTATTTCAGGACTTTATAGGTAAAATACTGAACAACACAGGAAACATCTAAATAAGATGAAAGGTATGTACAGACTCACTGACCTTCAATCATTTCAGAGGGTAGCTGAGAGGTAAAGAACCATAAAAAATATCTAATCCAGCTGAGTAATTCTCTGAATTTCCTACTTGAAAATTTAGCATTTTCTAAGAATAAACACTAGCCGGTAGAGGGGGGGCGTTAGAAGGAAGGGAGTAAAATGTGCAACAATGGATGAATGAAAATCTAACTTATCTGTAAATGTTCGTTAAAATCATGAGTAAAATAAAATTTCCCTTTTTAAAAAAGTAAACGTTGATTTTAGGAAGCGTAATGAGCATATATATCCTTTGTGATTCAGGTAAGTCTCCTTTTATTTATTTTTTTTTATTTTTTTGGTGACTTTAATGAAAGTATACAGAAAGGTTGAGTTTTTACTCATTCATTGGTACATATTTTCCTCCCTTCTTGTCCTTTCCTTCTTCCAATTAACTTTTTATTCCAGATTGCTTATTGTTATACATATAATTTTCAGTCATATATTCCTTTTCAGTACTTTCTTTCATCAGTTCCAGTGCAGTGTTCACTAGACATAGATGTTTCATGTTGAGTCTGCTCTTGAATCTTGCGTTAAGAAATATTAACTTCTTTTTTGTAATTTTTTTATATTCTCCTCCATGATTAAACTTATTACAGTTATGCTGTTTACAAGAATTCTCTATGACCATCTCAATGGCTCATTGAACTAAATAAAAGTACCAGCTGATGTCAGGGTTGTCCTATAATTCATCTCTAAAAATGTTCTCTGTTTTATGTAAGTCAAACCCAGAGAGTGAAAAAAATCAAACGCATTATCTAGACTCCAAGTCATGGTAACTTCTTACACTGTAGGGCAAAATTATTTAATAGCGATTTCAAGGCTATGACCTTTCAGATGCAGTCACCAGTACTTCAGAGGAGCCTCTGCATTAATTTTCCACACTCTTGGCTAATGGGTTATTGCTGATTTGCGCCACCTACTTGACTCCATAGACACTCCATGTACAACAGATGTAAATCCTGTCCAATTCTGCACCATCCTCAAGATCTCCTTGACTCTAAGAAACACCCTGGCTATACTTCTTCCGAGATGGCTCTGTCTGGTTTTTTTAGCTGTTGTTATTAGGTGCAATAGAGTCAACTACAACTGAGATACCCTATCAACAACAGATTTGAAATCTGCCCTACGTTGTGCCATCTTCATGATCCCTCAATATTCAAGCTTATTATCTACAATGTGTCAATCTACCTTTTTGTGGTGTATGAACCTGGTTTTTTTTTTACATTATATTTTAAATTGGTTTGCTTACAAAGTTTGTATACATTGTGTTTCACACTATTCTTCATTAGCATTCTGTTTCATAGAATCATTCTCATACATTATATTTGTTAATCTATCTTGTTCAAGATCTTTCTCTCTTTTGCTGACTCTCCACCTTTCCAAGTACGATGCCCTTTTCCAAGGACTGGTCATTCCTAACAACATGTGCAAAAAAATTTGAGATGAAGTTTCATCATTCTTGCCCCTGAGGGGCACCCTACCTGTATTTTCTCTAAGACATATTTATTTGTTCTTTTGGCAGTCCTTGAGATATTCAGAACCTTTTTCTGTCCTTCTTAGTCATTGTTCAACTTTCTGAAGCATAGGAAGTAATTCAACAGTACAGGGAGCTCTGGTGGCCTAGTGGCAAGAAGCCACACTGCAATCCTAGAGGAATGTGATTCGAGTCCACTGGCTTAACTTCAAGAGATGGATGAACAAACTTCTCCCATGTGATTAACTGCTTCTAAAAACCAGCTGGAGGGTCAGCTATGGGTCAGTTCCAACTTGATGGTAAACAATAACAACTACATAGTATATTTAATTCTTTAACACTACAAGTCAAAGGTATCATCCCCGCCCCCCCGCCACCCCCATCTTCATGTACGTACAACCTATATTTAGACCAGGAGGCAGTCATCAGAACAGAGTGAGGAAACACTGCATGGTTCAAAATTGGGAAGAGTATACACCAGGATTGTGTCCTCTCTCCATACCTTTTCAATCTATATACAGACTAGATTATCCTGGAGGCTGGGATATATGAGGAGAAATGTGACATCAGGATTGAAGGATGACTCATCAACAATCTGCATTATGCAGATGACACAGCGCTGCTTGCTGAAATTGAGGAGGATTAGAAGTGCTTGTTGCAGAAGGTCAAGGACTACAGGCTTCAATATGGAATGAAGCTCAACATCAAGAAAACAAAGATTCTCACCACTGGGCCACTTGGCAGCATCGTGATAGATGGTGAAGAGATTGAGATTATAAACAGCTTTAGTTTGCTTGGTTCCACAATCAACACTCTTGGTGCTAGTAGACAGGAAATTAAAAGATGTATTGCATTGGGACACTCTGCTGTCAGAGACCTCTCCAAGGCACGGAAGAGCAATGATGTTAGTCTGCAAAATATTTCTATACATCAGAAAGCTGGACAGTGACTAGGAATTATAGGAGGAGAATTTATGCCTTTGAGCTGTGGTGTTGGAGAAGAGTTCTGAATATACCATGGACTGCTAGGAGAAAAAAACAGGTTCATCCTAGAGAAGGTGAGACCAGGCTACTCCTTGGAGGTAAGGATTCTAAAGCTTTATCTGATATACTTTGAACATGTTGCAAGAAGGGACCAGTCCTTGGAGAGATATGTCATGCTTGGGAGGGTGGAGAGGAAGCCCCTCAATGATATGGATTGGTTCAGTGGCCGGAGTAATGGAGGTATAAGATTGACACAGGATAAAGCAGGATTCAGAGCTGTTGTATATAGGATTGCTGAGTCGCGGGTGACTCCATGGCACATAACAGCAACTATATGTTCCTTATGCATAGTTCCACTTTCAAATGATGTGAAATAATTGGAAATACCTGATTTGGATCAGGAAGACTTTAATATTTAAATTTAAACCCTGCTATTTAGCACTTTAAGGAGATCCTTGATGGCGTACTTGCCTAATGCAGTACTTTTTTCATATCTTGTCTGCGGCTTCCATGGAATTTGATTATAGACCCAAAGAAAATGAAATCTTTAAATAGGAGCATTTCTCCAGTT